CTTGGACAGTGAGATTATACTTTTTTTAACGCAAGAGGAGAAGTGGGAAGGGGCCGTTTGTGCAAGTGGTTGTCCTGGACAGATGGTCGTTAGAGCAGATTCGAATGTACTTGTATTCAATTTGTGTAATTATGCTTGAGACAGCTCGCAGCACACGTCAGGATTCCACTTGATAAACATTAATATTGCGGCCTGTACTACTAGTTATCTACTAGTGTTGATAGGGGTGTTAAACCCATACCCTTTCACTCATTTTCTACAAGCTATAATAGAGGACAGTCTTGTTTTAGTGAGAGTTTTACGACCTAGCAAAGCAACGAAGTCATATAAATGCGAAGATTAGACGTGTTACTTAAGTAACGTACACAAAAATGCAGGAGGGAAAACAAGGACCATAGATGTTCGATAGGAAAAAAGGAGCAAACCACACCAGAGTACCCGCCAAACACCCACGAAAGCAGTCCGCTAAAAGCAATAGCAATTACATGTAGTAATATATACTGACAAACAAGAACGTACGCTGCACTCAAACAAATGTTAATGGTTATGTTCATTGCTGTAGGAAAACACCGAGAACATTACGTGAAAAGTAATGTCTATAACAATTGCTGTCAGCTTAGAAGGAGAGAAAAATGCAAACAGTAAGGACTGTACTAATTGCTGTAAGCAAATACTCAGAACATAATGCTAACAGAAATGGCTATAGATGAAAACTGGTCAAAAGCAAACATTCTAAATCTTGTGCTTAAAGTAACAGCTAATTACGACACCACCGTGCCGTAATGTTACTTTTGCAAATTTGCTTTCATATTCCTCCTTCTCCTCTGCCTCTCTCTCCTGCTGCTCCTTCAGCTCCTCCTCCCACTGCTGCTGCTGTTGGTGGTGGTGGTGGTAGTGGTGAAGTGGTGGTAATACTAATAGTTGTGTAGAGGTGGTAGTTATGGTGGTGATGATGATGAATATGATGATGAATATGATGATGAATATGATGATGATGATGATGAT